TTTTCACATCAAAAGTTCCGAAGATTGTTTTCTCATAGGGAAACTGTAATTTGCTATACATAATTTGCATTAAAAATATACTCCCAGAGTTGCCATGGAACAAGTTTTACCTAGATTATGCGCTTGAAGCAAAGGCTCTAAGCCTTCTGAAAATATTACGTGTAACTGAAGATGTACCAAAAAGCGGTACTATGGAAACATTTCAATCCTCTACGTATGCTTGAATTAGAATCATCTGCGTAATAATATTATTCTGTTATAGTTATCCATTTAAGAAAATTAAATGTATTAAAGTAACATTGTGCATTTACATATAGCTTATTTCAAACGTATTGAAATGAAAAAGTTGCGTTTGTTTTGAAATCAAATGAAATGGAATGAGCATCTCAGTTAAAATTCACATACGGAAATCCTCAGTCAGCATATACAGAAAGTTACTGATCATAATACTGATCATAATTCTAAATTTCAAAATATTTTTCTCAAAGAGGGGAAAAAAGCATAGCGTTAAATGTACAGAAAAACGCTTGTTAAAAACTATTACATAAATCTCTACAGGCAATCTGCAGATATTTGTGAGAAAAGAAATCTGCTTAGTGAAATGCAGATTAATACTTGAGGTCTGATTCTTATATTTATACTTCAAGGTTAAGCTTTAAAATTACACATACTGTAGCAATTTGGCTATATTTAATAAAGTCTTTTATTTCTTCTCGTACATATTTTAATTAAACATTAATAACATTAATTATAAATTTTAATACAAATTAAAAATTACATTAACTAGCTATAAGAAGTGAAAAGGAATTTCAATTTGTGACTTCAATGACATTTTTATCATATTACATTGCCAGGTAATTTCCTTAAGAGTTTTCTCATAAAATATTTTTTATTTTGCAATGAAATTTGATAAAGATTACCTTCAAACTCATATTGTTATAGTTCCGAAAACTTACTTACATTTGTTGTATTCCTAAAAAAAATTATGAAAATAAATAATTGTTAATGAGAAATAAATTAGCTTTTTTTATGAAACCAACAAACTCTAACTCAACTGTTTCCTTTCTTGGTCAAAAATGACTCTCAAAACTAATTAGGAAAATAAAAGATAATATCATTTTTAAGCATATAGAAACATTTTTACTTAGTTTTAGTAAAATTACTTCCTAAAATAACTAATTATTATTTCGCTCGGTTTCCAAAGGCACGGATAACAACTTAAGTAAATTTAGAAGTATAGGGAAAATTATCTTCAAGCTAAGGTTGTTTTTTGGGGAAAGAATCGTATCTGATAGCAAAATTTTTATCATAAGCGGTAAAGATCCAGTTTTTGTGTGGTAATTTCCAGCTATGTACACAACAAACCATCACAGTAGCAATGACGTAGTATAAATTATTTAACATTCCTCAATAATTAGAAAATAAATATCACATAGATATTATTATTACTATAAACGATAAATTTATATAAAAAGAAATATATAAAATTTCGTATTAAATTAATTTTAATTGTTAAAATTCTAAAACTTTTAGGTCGTAAATTTTGTTACAGTTAAAAATTGAGAACATGAACTAAGAAAATATTAATTTAAAATAAAAGAGGTTAAAAAAAGTTATCGGAATCTAGAAAGCATTGTCAAATATTTTAGCCAAATACTTTCTGGTTTTGACTCCTCCCCTTGGCCTTCAATGAAATTATTGCGCAGTTCTTTGCATTTTACTATTTTTATCTTTTATTGCTTCTCCTCTACTGTGTCCAGAGCTAAATTTTTTTACTTATCATGGTAACAGTGTTATTGTATTTTACTCGTAATATTTTAAGGAATTTGATTATATGTTTAAGCAAACAGATATCCAAAAAAGAAGTCAGAATTGGTTTCGAACTCTTGAGGATTGATTACTAAGAGTCTTTTAATCAGTTCATAAAATTAACAAAAAATCGTATTCGTTTTACACACTTTTCAGATTATTTGAAGATTAGTGGATTATTCAGTTATGGCAAAGCACACGAGGGCTATCTGTCTAAAGGGAGGGATGCCTTCGTGGAGGACTTTCTTAGGGAAACTGGCTCGTATACGCGTTACACATGGGAAAAACCACGAAAACGCCCATGCAGCCAGCCCCGTTCGCGGGATTCGAACCTCGGACCAGTGTTCAGCGTCTTTACCACTCGGCCGCTGGTGGGCCTGAAGTCAAATAAGATATGCTTATTAAACTCTTTGGAACCTATTTTGCAATACAGTTCAGCAGCTACAACGGCATATATTTATTATTTAATTCATAACGAAGAAGTGATGCTTCAGATGCATAAAATACTTTTCACGCATGCTAATGCAAAAGGAAAATTCACTTCTCATTGATGATTTCGTTTAATTTAGATCGAAATATAAAGTGAAATAATTAATTATTCCTGTTAAATGCAATATATCATAAAATTATATGGCAATCAAAAGTAAATATTTCAGGTTCTGCTTATGATAAAGGCCTATTCAAATAGTGCCATGGGCGAAGATAAGTACAACTGCAACCCTGACAACTTACAAAATGTCATAGAGATCATAGAGATTTGGTCTCTTAAACATGATTCCAGTTTTCAACAATTCAGCAAGGATGGCCCGACAATAAAAAATATGTGCAGTTGTCAGTTGTGTGACCGGGCAATTATCAGAGTTTTTGTGGGTTTTCCTACCCTCTCTTTCTTAAAAAGTGATTAAAAGTTTAAACTTATTCTTATTTTCCATGAACATCCATCTTAATTTTCATCATAGAAAAGGAAGCAAACTAAAGCACACATTTAACTGCTAATTAATCGGTGAATAAGGAGAGTACAGGAAGTTCATTGGGTATTCATATTCTCCAAAGCAATCTTGAGTTAGTACAAGCATCTGAATTTCAAGAACTACACTAAAGTAATTGATCTGTACCACCGCGCATTTCGTTTGTTAGAGTAAGAACTGACTCTGATCCCTCTGAGAAAAAATAAAAGGCGATGCGAATGCACTGCGGGAAGTAGTTGAAAATCACAATCAATTCATACTGTAACCAATTCAGCGATTTTTTGTAAAACGCAAATTAACTGTAATACGAGTAGTTTGCATTCAGAAGTTTATACTCACTCAGGATTACTCGAGAACATTAATATATATTATCTAGCTTTGTAAAGTAACGAAATAAGAAAAAATAATTCAATTTCATCCTGCAAGTTTTGCATTTCTGTTTTTTAATTTCTTGAGCGGGAAAAAATATTTCTTATTTTAAATACGTGATATTTCTCAGGTTTCTAAATTACATAAATTCAACCGCTATTAAAATATTTTATATAAAATTCTAAAAGCTTTCCCTTATTTGAAATAAGCCTAAGAAAATGAAAAGAAGTAACATCGAGTATTAAAAAAAGCTGCTAAAGGAAAGTCTTTCTATTTTTCATTTTATTCTGGCCTGACACCGGCTAAAATGTATCACAAATTTACGCACTGAAATACTGAGGTTTCTGAAATATTTTAAAATCATATTAATTCAATTAATATGATTTTATGTGATTATAATGATAACATATTAATATACTTATGATGTAGAAAGTATCACATATATTTATGATAGGGTAAATAAGAATAAATGGGAATGATTACGCTCATGTAAACTCTTTAAAAATACCTTCAGATATCAAGAACGCTTTCACTACACGCAAGTGTGATAAAGCCTGTAATTTTATTTTAATATTATGCTTGATAAAATAAAATCATACCGAATTTTGGAATCATATACAGTATATTCTTTTCGTTCTAATAATAATACAGCTTTCTTCCTTTAAAAATAATTAAATATGAATGAATATTGCTTAAGATTTCAGCAATATTTATCAATTTTATATAATTTAAAATTTTTTCTATTTAAACTAAGGAGAGTGGAAATGTAGTTGAAGAAAGAGTAATACCGGCTGTCGCAAGTTAAAAACAACTTAATTAAGTTAATATTTTTTCTAATAATTTTAATTTATTTCACTAATTTGTATTTCACATAATTTCGCAATAGACGAATAACGCAAGAAGCGCTGATTTTTTTTAATTTGAAAGCCACTCTCCATCAAAACAGAAGTATTATTTTTCTTTTTATATTCAGGTAACTTCTGCGTAGTATATGATAACATGCTGCTAAAGATGGTCAACTCTCAAGCCACATGCGATCACTGTGGTCCAATTTCGAGGCCCACTACAAGATTAACAATGTTTATTATTATAATTAATATTGACTGCTGACTTCCTGATGGATATATATTTTCATACTTTGACCATCTTAGAGCTATCTTTAGGATTTGTAGAAAATATGAGTAACAGCATAGACTTTGTAAGCTTCTTACTATGCGTAGGTATTCAAGAATTCTCATTAGTTTGTATCCCATTTTTAAAATAATTAAAATTCATTCAAATTAGCATTTAAAATGTTCATGCGCGTAATACCGACATTCGGCCCCCCTTTTTTTTTGTCCTATCTGTGATCTGTGATATGTGTTCAGTACAGGTAAATTTAAATATATGCTGTTATTATTATTACCTTGATACAATCTGCATTTATTCTAAGACATGTTCTTAAGTATTAGCAAATCAAAAAGATTCTAAAGCATAGGCCACGAAAATGCATCTTAAATTAGCCGTGGTATGTTCGTCATTTGTCCACGATAGTGATTTTTCATACAATATCTTCCGATACGCCCAGAAAATTACATATTACATCAATGCCTTAATTTACAATTTTTTTAATGATATAGAGGATTATTTCCCATCTCATTGAGAAGGATATATTTTTGAAGATATCTGTATTATCTTAATATACGATGCTTCATAGATATGAATACTGTTAATATTACTTTTATATGCATACATTTTATTGATATTTCTGAGGCGGTGAATTTTCTATATTAGCATTAAAATTTTTTACACTAATTCAAATGAGACTAATGAATCTTTATAATCGTAAAACTCTGCTTCATTATTAACCCTTACCTTTGACATTCATTTCAGAGCAGTCGAACTTCTCAGTGCATGTCAAGATGCATTGCTTCAGTTCAGTGACGCAATCAAAACAGCCAGATGACCTTTGACCCGGGAGCACTCTTCTCCTAGGTCCAAAAGGAAACGGTTTGCTCTGACACACGACCTGCCCGGCGAGTAAGAAGATGACTATGAGATTGAACCACATTATTGGAACACTCCGCAAGACCGCGAGTTCCGAGCATACAAACCTGCTGAAAGGGGAAAGCTGAAATTAAATACTCCTTTTCCGAGTTACAAGCGTAGCTAACCCAGTTACGTGCCCGTTAATAAGAACAAAAGAGCCGGTATTCAGTGGCCTTCATACCTGGTCACCCGTAGCTTCAGGATTATTTAGATATTCATTTAGTTTCTCTAAAAGGTATTGTCGCGTTAAGTGATTCCCATTCAAAACTCAAAATTCCCTCTCTAGTGAAAGGGTGGAGTCCATTCTTTTCTCAGTCAATGAACGGATTTCGTTAAGGATCGCGCCTCCCGAAATAGCCGTGTGTTAAGAATTTAGTGATCCGCTTGGTTTCCTGAGTAATTATCGTTATTTTGATTCCAGGCTCAACATTATACTTGCCCACTCAGTTTATTTTATTGATTTATTGATAGGTCAACGAAATAAGCTTTGAACGTAATTGCAGATGAACGTAATTGCACATTTTTAAGGTTGCATTCTCAAACGATGCTCATGACATGTTTGATAACCTAAAACTCTATATCTCCAAGCCTTATGCTCCCGGTTGGGCTGAGGGGAATTTTCTTAAAAAGGACGTATATTTAGTAGCAGTCGATTAAACTACATTTAATGCATTCCAAACGTGCATTCATCCTGCGAGATAAGGCGTCATTATCTCTTCACATATTTTGCCGGAAGCATAAGTTGCTTTTTTGAAAATAAGCTCAACGGAATGATAGTTCAAAGGTACATTATTTACCGAAAAAAATATAAAAAGGTCTTTAATTTTGGCTTAGCCGGAGCTAGATTAAGTTCAAAACTCCAGTCATAAAACTATGTCAGTATGTTTAGTAAACAAGTTGTAAAACTGTATTTGATGACTTAAGACATTGATTACTTCCTAAATTATAACAAATCAAAGTTTCTTAAACTATGGATCGCGATCCCAAATGGGGTCGTAAATCAAAATTTCTTAAACTATGGATCGCGATCCCAAATGGGGTCGCAAATCAAAATTTCGGGATCGCGAAAATTCAATTCGATGGCTGAATTTAAAGAAACTGCATTCATAAGACTTTTAAAGAAATTACATTAATTGACATTAATGAGATTGCACTTTTAAAGACATTACATTAATTGACATTAATGCTTTGAACTGTTATATAAAGTATAAAAGGAAATTGTTGCGATTCAAACTTAAAACTTGAGTTTTCGCAAAAACCCTTGATGAATTTTGGACTGGAGTTAGAACTAGATTTCTCACTATTTCTGAAATGACATTAAAGGTTCTTCTCTCATTTAGCACCACATATTTTTATTAAATTACTTTTTCAGCTTTAACGCTAATTAAGACCAAATGTCGTTCGACGTTGAAACATGTTGAAGATGCTTATTGTCCACCAGTGTCAAATATCGTACCAACATTTAATTTGTTATGCAGCAGAAAACGAACACATCTGTCTCATTAGAATTTTCTTTAATTTTTGCTTGCTTAAAATAAATCCTAAAACTACTTCTTCTTTTATACAGGGTGTTTCATAGATCATGGGACAAACTTGGAGGGTGGTGGAGCGTACTAAAACATGCATTTTTTGTATAGGAGTATAGGGTCTAAAGTGATGGGTTAAAGCAGAAACGCAAAAAAAAAAAAAAAAAAAAAAAAAAAACGACACGAGAGGAAAATGTGTTTATGTACAAAATCAACGCAGAGTGCTTCTTTGTAGCAATACAGTATTCACAATAAATTTCAAATTGCGACCATCAGCAGTAATACATGCTTGGTAACGTCGCAGAAGGGATTGACGAACATTTTGAAAAACGACAGGCACATTTTACCTTGTGTCGTAAAGTCAACAGATTTCTGAAATTTCTGTCTTACTATGGTGTAATGCACCAGGACTGTGTAGGAAGTTTCTAAGTATGAGCAATGTAATGCAAACAATAATTAAAACAGTGAACAAAGTTAGAACACAGGCAACTCAGAGACGTTTGTTCAAGGCACTTGCCTGCTGGACTATATTACCAGTATGGTTGGTGATTGAGTATTTCATATGGAGGTTCGTTGGTTGAGTAGAGGCAAAGTTTTACAAAGTTTTCAAAAGTTGCTTCCTGCCTAGTAGAATTTGTTAAAGAACGAGACCAATCCTTCCGTCAAACAGAAGATCCGATTTGGCCGCAGGATTTTGCTTTTCTCGCAGACGTCACCAAAAAGTTAAATATTATTCTTAACTTACAGCTTCAAGGTAGGGATAAAGATATTTTTGGAACAATTTCACATGTTGCTTCATTCTCAAAAAAAAAAAAAAAAAAAAAAAGAGAGAGAGAAGAAAGAAAGAAAGGAAAATGAAAAAAAAAAAAAAAGCTGGAACTGTGGGGAAAAATATCATCCAAGGTGAATTGAATGCAAACACCTTGCCTGTTTGAAACAAACCATTGACAAGCAAGGGTTTTCAACGCCTCCTTACAACGGCAAACAATACGTTGAAATTATTTAACATTTCAGAATAGCATTCAATAAACGCTTCCTAGATTTCAAAAGGAAATACAGTCGTTGCCTTTTCTGCCAGTTTTAAATAAATAGTTGCCTCTATTAAAGTTTTAACTCTCGTGCTATTGCGTATGGTGCATTAATTAAATTCTACCGAATGCTCATAAAATTTCTACTAAAAGATTAAATACCTTCATCTACTAATACGGCAGCTAAGAACTCAGAAAAGATTAATTTAGAGTGTAAAATGAAAGTTATTCAGCAATATGAAGGGAAAAGGAGATGAATACCATAGCGCGGGATTTGAAGTTATCATATTATACGGTATTAACGCTTCTTACAGACAAGGAAAGAATTCGGGAAACAATTAAGGGTTCTGCACCTAATGAAAGCTACAATTACAACCAAACAGTGTCAGGAACCCATCCATTAGATGGAGAAATAGTTGCTTATATGGAAGGAAGATATAATAAAAAATACAGTCATGAGTTTTCTCACAGTGCAAGCGAAGAGTAAAGGCCTCTTTCAGAGTTTCAAGTCGCTGGCTGGAAAGGATTATGCAGAAGGTTTTCAAACTATTGCTAAGTGGTGTTTTTTTTTTTTTTTTTTTTTTTTTCTTTAAGATTTGCTTTGAAGATTTGACGTGCAAAAGAAGATGGTGCCCGAATTTTCTTTAACACTTTTTTTCATTAATCAAAAAAGAACGTTATGTATCTACAAGAATAATCAGTGCAAATAAGAAAGTTACAACTTAAAGAAGAGTAACTAAGTATCCACTTAACTGATTCAATAAGATACAGAAAAAAAAAAAAGAAAAAAAAAAGGCTTGATAAACACTGCATTTAATGGGAAATCTAAAGCGTCTGTTTTCCAGTTCAGAACCATGATGGAAAACACATAAGCTAGTACAACTCGATTATTAATTTTACAGCCATCTATGCAATACACAAATGGGAAATTATCTACAGCGGAATTGTCGCAAATTGCAGTTTGAATTAGCAAACGATCAGAAGGCTAAGGAAGATCCTCAAACAATACCTTGGTATCCAACATAAGTTTGCTAATATTATCTTTAGATTCTTTGTCTTGTTAAACATGAAGATCAATCAGGGTGAATGCAAAATACGCTTTATGGTTAATTTTTCTATAGTCTCGCATAACTCTTGGTAAAATTATTGTTTGAATTCTGCGAAGAATACGGGAATGAGTCTTCTTTTCTGAAGTTGTTCCCCGTACGCTAGAACCGTAGCAAACAAAAGGCACTACACCTTGTTTGTAAATCATATCAATAACATTAGATTTTAAACCGAAAGAATTGCAAGAGACACGATTCACATTTTTTGGATAAATATATACCATGATGTTTCTAGAAGAGCCTATCATCGAGAATAAAGCCTAAATATTTAATTTCATTCATCATTTCTAGTAAAATATTATGGGAGTACCATTCTGGTTTGTATAACAGACATGCTTTCTTTTAATTATTATAATTTTAGATTTATTAGAATTAAAATCCAACTTCTGGTATCTAGACCTATCTGAAACCCATGAAGGGTTTTCTGAGTCGTATTAAGAAAGCACTGTCCTTGAAAACAAATCAGTAGATCATCAGCAAAAGCATTGTTTTACACCCCGGGCAACCTGAGGGTCTCGTGAGATCCTTCATAATCAAATTCCACAGTAAGAGTTCAAGAGCGACCTCTTTCCAGAGTGCGAGAAGTAGGAGACATGGCCAAGGGAAAGCAAGGCAGACCTGTCAAGAAAAAAATCTTTAATAAAGCGAAAAATATTACGTAGAACACCAGATCTCTTCAAAAATGTAAGTACCCTAGGCCACCAAGTGTTGTCAAAGACCTTCTTGGGATGAAATTTTAGTTTGGACATCAATGAAGGCAGTTCAGAAAGGCGACACACATCTCTACGACGCCTCACGTTCCAATCCTTCTCGACTTTTGCGACAATCCATATCTCATTATTGTACCAGAAAAGCAAGGAAACGCATATCGTGACTCGCCCCTCTCGATGAATTGCACTCGGCTGATGTGGAACCCAAAGATCGAACTTTGAGCTGAAGCCTAGTGTAACAAGCCTTCTTCCACTACTTTGTACTTGAAGATTTCTATCAATTCATCTACAGTTGGATTTGAACTTACTGTTATGGCTTGGCCCAGTTCCTCTTCGTAAAACTCTGATGGACGCTCAGACATGGATGATCTTGACAGCTTCTATCGCCGTCCCTGAATATTCGAAACCAGCGATCGCATGTGATTTCGTCAATTGTATCCTCACAATAAACATTTAGCAATAAATACACAAATGGGAAATTATCTACAGCGGAATTGTCGCAAATTGCAGTTTGAATTAGCAAACGATCAGAAGGCTTTAGTCTTTTTTACAAAAATGGGAAAAAGCAGTAAGATTGTAGCGAAAATTTGAATTGTTAAAGATTTAATGTATGAATATGCATAACAGCTAAATTTGTAAGGGAAAGATCTCTATAAAGTTGCTGATGGTGGTCGTTCAGGAAATGAATTTGCACTTTATG